AGGCAGGCAGCAGGTCGACATAGGTCAGGCAGCTTTTGAAGACCTCTGGGGTTACTCTGTATCACATGTGCTGTAGTATCATGGTCTTGCCATGAATATGAGAACCTTACACATTAGTAATTGAATCAGACTGGGAATCTGTCAGCATAAACTGTGAACCATTTAGAATAATGACATTTAAACCTTTTTATGTCAGAGTAAAAACCATATGAAAGTGTGATTCACCTTCGTATTGTTTCTCTCATCCTTTTAGTTGGATATAACGAATTTATTTTGTTGACTGTATATTCCAGAACTGAACTAAAGTTAACCACCGGTGTTGTCGCAGGCCTATGTACAGAAGAGATCCCAGGCACTGTTGTCTTTTCTCCTGATGCTGTCTCCTTCTTTCTTTTATAGATGTTTTTTTTCGATATGTCTGTAGCCCCTTGGTGTTGCATCAAGTTAAATGATACTGTTAGCTGAATGAGGTCTGGAAATGTGCCTGCCAGTTCGAAAGCACTTGTCGCCTTCTGTCCTCACTTGTTGACCAGTATTTCGCTGCGTTGGAGCCCTGAGCTCATGCAGTGGATCATCATGCTGTGATGGGGCAGGGTCTTTTAGCAGTGCAGGGCACGGACATGGCACCATCCGCACGGGTGATGAGTGGCAGCCATTGTCCACCCTCAGCCCCTCTACACAGCAGATCGAGTGGATAAGGGAGAAATCGCTTCCTTAGTGGAAACGAGTGGGAACTGGAGACAGGTCCAGGGTGGAACTTGGCCATGACGCTGGGATAAACACCCCTGTGCTTACACAAGAGTCCAAAGGATCTTCAATGACCAAGACTGCGGGACCTTCTTGTCTGGAGCACAGCACCATCTTAAGCCATTGGTTTGGAAGGGAGGGAAGTGCGCCACCTACTGGTCCACCAGCACCCCTTACTGCAGCAACTTGGATTTTCCTTGCAGGTCTCCCATCGGAAATGACCTGGCCCAGCCTCGCTTGGCTTCTGAGATCTGGCTGGATCGCTGTGGGGGGTGCCAAGGCTGCTTGTTTTGTTAAGCCTGAGTTTAATTAAAAGCCTGGAAGTCAAGACTCCACAACACCTGAGTTTCACTTCCTCAGTTTATTTAGCCATTACTGAGCAAGTTGATTACTCCCCTGTAGCCTCTTTAGAAAATGAAGACATTAATATTTAGTGGTCTGAAATGAGGAAGCAAGGCAAATTAAATTTAGTGCAGTACCTTGCTAGAAATCTGCAGACTATGCCCCCAGATTACATTAAACCCTGGACCCACCCATCATTCACAAATTACGAGACGAAGATCATTCCTTCTAGCCAGCGCAGGACTGACATCAAGTAATGAGTTTGAAAAGTGTGACTGGCTAAGGAGTGGAAGTTTTAATGTGTTCTGGGCCAGCCATTGATCTCCAGAGTGATTTTTGGTTGCGGTTTGTGCTAAATGTCTTGTAAAAGACAATAAAGAAATGCCAAGTTTCACAGCATTATTATGCTGATAAGGAATATTCTTATTAAATTACTTTAATATTTAATCGCTTCAAGCATAAAAGACCAATACACTTTGCGCTACAAGCCTTTCTATACACCATTTCCTATCCAGACCCTTATTGAACTATCAGGCTAACGCTGAATAGGCTGTGTACAGGCAATTTTTAAAAGGTCCTGATCCTTCTTATTATGGGCAATTGAGGTCTTACTGAATAAATAGTATAAAATATTAATGATCTTTACAGACCTAAGGACTAAAATGTACACTCTGAAAATCTTACAGAATCTTACATTATCCTTCGGGGACGTGAACCATTGAAAAATACATTTAATAATAAGAAACCACCAATAAATAATTCAAGACGTTGCTCAGGCTTGGACCTACAACCCAAAACAAAGGAGTAGTGTTCTTTTCCTGATTAGTCACGTATAGACCTGTCCAGAAACTTAACTATGTTACTGCAACCCCAGGAAAGAGAAATCGATAACAGAGGTTGAGAAACATCGTGTTGGATGATGGTTTTAAGTTCTTGCTCTGTCTTTCAAAGATTTTGAAGGTCATGGAAGGAAATATAAGAGAAAGACCATATACTTCTAAATGCTGGATTTATGTAGGGAGTTTATCACGGAGCTTTTCTACTCTTACACTGAAAATGCCTTTCGAAGGAAGTGTTTCCGAGGAATCTGTTGCTCATTTTCAAGCATGGCGTGTGCTGTAATTCTTTTGAAAACATTTGTATTCTCTAAAACACTCCTGTTGCTTCTCCAGTTTGTGCTCTCTAAAGCCCTGTCCACGTTGTCCTTAGTTTACTGATTTCCTTTTGACCCCGACTGAAAGTCCAGATTTCATACCAAACCCCAGAGCTGTACTTGAGACTCCTGACAGGGTAGTTTAGATTTTGGGTCTGAAGCACCGTAGATCAAATTAGTCTGTGCACTTAGTCAGAAATGAGGAGATGGTAATGGCAATATGCACTGTTTCATTATCCTCCCTTATCCCAGAATGCAGTTTATGAGTCCTACTTGTAGTGTGCATGGTCATTGCAACTTCACAGGCTCTGCAGAAAATCAAGGCCAGTAGTATCAAGTAGCTGATGTTTGTGCTTACAGTTAGAAATGCTCAAGCTTTAAAACAGCACATGAATGACACATGTTATTATAATAACACAAGCAGGGAGGTTTTTGGTATCTGCAGCGGGGAACCAGAACTACAGAGTTGAAAATCTCATAAGCTGTAGCCTATCCGACAAGCAGCAGGTGTAAGGCAGGGCATATCCAGGACGGGACGCCAGTTCATCGCAGGGCACACACGGATATAGACACGCACACACTCACACCAGGGGCAATTTCCCAAGAAGCACAGAAGTTACCAATATGCCTTTGAACTGTGGGAGGACACCACGCAAAGATGGGGAGAACATACAGACCCCACACAGACAGCACCCCAGGTCTGGAATGAAACCTAGGGCCCCAGCGCTCTGAGGCAGCAGTGCTAACCCTGTGCTACCCTCAGAATTAAACATGAATTATTACATACTTATTTTACCTTTTGATTGCCGAAAATAAAACTTTTTCTGCACTGTGTTTTTCTCCTGAATCAGCTCCAAGGCAGCTGTGTAGAGGCAGAGCAGTGTAGGCCTTAGGCTTGACTAAGTATGAAGCAGTGTTTCAGTATGGGTGCGCGGAGCTGTATTAATTAGATCCTGAGTATGTTTCTCAACAAGGGTTTTCATGTGTCGCTGGGGTCTTGTTTGATCACGAAAAGATTAATCATTACTCAGAGTGTGAGTGAAGCACTCCTTCTGGACATCGCTGTGCTGTTCATCAGGTTTACCTTTTCATTTGAAGATAATTTTTTACAACAGCAGCATTAGAGCAACGGGCCCCGTGATCGTCAATAAAACATTTTAAGTCTAATAAAATGCAGTTTATGAATGCCAGTGGAAATAAAAGACTGAAGTGCACGGAATAATGTAATAGTCTGTTTCACAGACCAGATGTGGTGAAGACAGTGATGCAGACCGTCTCCCTGCGCCACTGTCGATGAAGACTGGTGTCGCTCTCCGAGGGCAGCAGCTTGGCATGGTCGTAAGTCAAGGTCTGTAGGAGGCCATGTCTCCACAATAGCCATGGCTGTAGTGTCCCTCGTTGTAGAGCCCCATTCAAGCGTGCATATTGAGAGAAAAGGAAGATGCAGTGAAATGAATTTTGGACAAGACCGATTTCTCTGACCTTATTTAGGGCTGGTTTCTGCAATAACCCCATTACACGATGTGACCTTCCTGCTAATGCAGTTCAGTAAGCACACATCTGCTCAGGCTTCAGCACTACTCAGCTGGGAGGAATTTGCTTTCATTATTTCACCTGTTTTCAGGGCTTTACTCAACGCAGTTGACTAAACACAATTTATTTCGCACTACGCGAGGACTATTCCTTGTTACTTCCCAGTGCAGTGGAAATGGATAGATTGCTTTGTGAAAGTCTCCTTGTTAGGACTGAACTCGCAGGGGTCAACGTGCTCCAGTGTTGAACTGGGGGTACTGTAGGAGGTCTTGCAGTGAAAGCCGAGATTGAGGAGCCAGGGTAATCTCGCAGCGCCTCTTTTTCATGAGACTGCAAGGGAGGCCTCGGCACAGGCTCGTCCATTCCTTGTGCGCCGCTGATCGTGCACGATCACAAGCAGGAGGAAATCACGATGAAACGTGAGGGCACGAGACAACCTCTGGACCCCACACAGAACACGCTCTAGTCAGGAATCGAACCCTGCGATCTTTCGTCATCCGTTTTCAATATGATCCTTTCATGTTTTATATAGCGCCTTTAAAGGTAGCATCTCAAAACTCTTTACAACTGGTGTGAGCAAATTGAGGATAGCAAATGACAAAATAAGCATGTGAGGATGAGGAGTGGTTAGAGGTGCAGCAGAAGATACTGCACATGATCATTAGAAAATGGGACACAAACAATAATTAAATAAAAGTACGGATTTGAATGCGCTCTCTCTGATATCCTTGGGGACTGAATTCCAGAGCTTTGGGGTGCAGCATGAGAAGCCTTGGAGGTTTAAATGTTGTAGTTTAAATTTTAATGGGGCGGAGTGGTGTCACTGTGGCTAAGGATCTGCGCCTGTGGCTGGAAGGTTGCCTGTTCAAATCCCGCGGCTGGCAGAGGAATCCTACTCCGTTGGGCCCCTGAGCAAGGCCCTCAACCCCAGCTGCTCCAGGAGCACTGTACAATGGCTGACCCTGCACTCTGACCCCAAGCTTCTCTTCCTGTGTATCTTGTGGAGAGCAAGCTGGGAAAAGACAAATTCCTAATCCAAAAATTGTATATGGCTCATAAAGTGATCTATTTTAAAGTACAGGTTCAAAGAAGAGCACAGTCCATATTGGCGGTGTGTGTGTAGCAGGCAGTCCAGATTTGTTCCTGTAATGCTCTGGTGCTCTGATCTGCCTCCAGTGTATCCCAGTGTGCTGCTCCGTTCATGCCTGTTGCATTCTGCTTCCAGGGGTCCTACTGGGCAATCGACACGAATCCAAAGGAGGACACACTGCCCACCCGGCCAAAGAAGAGGCCACGATCTGGAGAGCGGGTGAGTGGCACCAGGGGCACGCCTGCAGGGGGGGGGGGATGGACAGACGGATCCCGGGCTGCATTTGTACTGCCCTACTGCTGAAGAAGTCCTGCTGTTTGTATTGACTGCTCAGTACTCCACCGATCGCTGAGCGCTCGCCCCCCCTTAGCGCTCCGGAAACCGGGATGAGCTCCTGTCCACGAGCCGTTGCGGCCCCAGTGGAGACTTTGACGTTTACTTCGCCGAAATTAGATGCACAACAGTTTGGGGGACTTTGGTAGAAGGTTTTAACAAATGGTTCTGCGCATGTGTAAGGCTGGCGGTGGCTGTGAAGATGAGTGGTACAAGACAAGCAGATGTCACTGCTGTCTGCCAGTTACAGGGACTGATTAAGATCTGTGAGACAGCGCCTTTGGGTTTCTGTGTCTTTTTCCAGTTTTTGACCTGCTGTGAAACGTGTTGTAATGCATTAGGCTGCAGTGTTACCTCTTGCATCGTGGTTTTTTTAGGCCTCAACCTTTATGCATCGACTTGCTTTTGAATCCCACTCACCTTAATTTTAAATCAGTTTTTTTCTTTGTTTTTTTATTTTATGTATGGATTCTTTATTTGGTATCTTGATTTGAAATTTGCACAAAGCGGGTTTAGGATGTTTCTAGAGACAGGTCTGCTTACGGTCATCGTGAAGAGGTCAGAGGAGCTGAAGCCTATCCCCATAGGCAACAGGCGCAAGGTGGGGCTGGATGGGACACCAGTCCACCACAGGGCGCGCGCACACACACACACCCACCCACCAGGGCCAGTGTTGCCAATTAACCTACAAGTATGTCTTTGGACTGTGGGAGGAACCCGGAGGAAACCCACACACATGTGGAGAACATGCAAACTCCACACGGACAGCACCACAGGGTCATAATGGAACCCAGTAACACAGCAATGCGAGGCAGCAGTGCTACCCAGAGTGCCACCATGCTTCCCATAGTCAGAACAAAGTAATATTTATATAGTCCACAATAAATAATGACTTTTTATTGATTCCTTGATTGAATAACTTTTATTAGGCTTTAAGATTTAGGCTGCTCAGCGTCCTCTAGCTGCTCCTTGTTGGCTGTCCATTAGACCATATGTGGGGCTTGACGCTCCGTATTTAACACAGATTCGGAACTGGACAGTTAGAAGCAATACATCACACGTTTGTTGGTTTATTGCATAAATAATTATCATGATTAAGTCAGTATTAGTTATTTGACAACTTATAGGTTGTCTACATTTACAGCCTTCAGAAAATACAAAGTTAGAAAACAGTTAGAATCCTGGTTCCATTGAAATAAAAAAAAATAGTCTTCAGAAAATTGCTCCAGTGCTCACTGCGCTTGTCCAGTTTTGCACATAGTATTTCACGTTAAAAAGCGTTCTCCTGTTGAGAGGCCAGCGGCCCAGTGTTGGTGCTCTGCTGGTCCCCTTGAGAGACGCGTTCCTGCTGCGCTCCGGCAGTGTTCCCTCCTGAAGTCTGCGTGGGGCTCACCAACAAGGGCAGGGCCAGCTGACTGGTGCTCAGGGCCATGCCAGCGCCTGGCTTCTAATCAGGACCAGGGAACTCTCCTGCTTTCTTCTTTAATGATCCAGAGATAAAGGAGACCTGTGGAAGGTTTGCATCTGTAGTTTCCATCTGTAGTAACACCAGGGTAGTGTAGCATTCACTGGGTTAGAAGGCACTTTGATTTTCGTTTCAGTTGAAATGCAGTGGTTTGCTTACGTTCAGGAAATTAGGACTAAGCCTGGAGCAAACTTGTGTTTTAACTGCATTGCTTTTTTGTTCTACTATTTATTTTTTAAAATAATTTACTTGTTCAGTCCCTTTGAGACCAGTCAGGTAATTGTGTAGTCTGTAATGTTGTTAAAAGTCATTGGTAAAGGCTTGCCATCAGTTATGGTTTGTGTGTTCTGCAGTTGAACACTGTGTGTTTTTTCTTTTCCAGAGCTGGGAAAGCTTGTGCGAGTTACAAGACAGGTTTTCGTTTGTGTTGGAACTTGTGAATACTGACACATTAGCACATACTAATGTGTCTGTATTCATACCTTTGTGACAGAATGCAAAACTGTCAGAGCTGACTGGAAACATTTTTTTTAATACTGAAAAAATTAAAAGATACTGCCATTTGGTTAATAAAAAAAGGCATATATTCTGTGGGAATATCCCCACATCATCTGCTTGTCATGGACTCTCTTTGTGGGTATATTTCTCATATTTACATAAACTTTCTTTGTGGGTAGATTTTTCAAATTAATATACATGCCCACACCTGCATAGAAACACAAACACGCCCACTTAAACCTCCACTCTCGGCTACGCTGGTCCAGCCTGCTCGTCCTCAGTCCTGCTTCTATCAAGTTACACTGCTGGTTAATGATGTAACACATAATCCTGGCTCTCGTAATGGCTCAGCTCTGTTTGATATAGTCAAGTTTGTTAATAAACTGCACCCCAGGCAGTCATTAGACACTGCGTTCTGTGCTGATTTTTTTATTACAGACATCAATTAATCCATCATTGTGCCCAGGCTCTGTCAAGATGGAGGTTTTTAAATATTTATGCCCAGTGTGTGGAACATCATTTCATACAGTGCATCTTTCCCACTTTATTCTGCCTCCAGCCTGCTGGGTTTTGTGCCATCTGATGCCCTGGGCAGCTGGACAGCTGTGCCCGGCATTCATGCTGGTACTCCAAGGACATGGGCATTCTGCTTTGCTAAAGTCATCTGGACGAGCTTTTAGACTTCACCCACAGGGCTGAGTCTTTGAGATCTTTGCTTCTGCAGACTTGGATTTCAGGATCAAGTGCTGGAATGTGAGGGAGAATAGACAGGTTTGAGCTGCTCCTGCTTTTCTTATCCGTATTTGCAGGTGGTACTTGCACTGTAGGTACTGTATCTGTGGTGTCAGTTAAGCTTCCTGGTGTGACATTAATAAATGAGTGTAGCCCCATGCTGGTTTCTGTAAGACTGGGCTCACGAAGTGTTTCCTTCAGAGAAAAGTTGGCATCTGCCTTTGTCTTCTTGAATGGAGAACCTGAAGGGTTTTTTTTTTCTCCAAAAAAGCTTCACGGCAGTTCTTCACTAGGTTAAATCAATACTCAGTCACGGGTGGGGATTTGTCCTACTTTTCCAAATGAGGTTTGTATATAAATGTGGTCTCTATATTTAAGGTGAATGTTCTCAGTGTCTTGAGTCTGGAAAGCAGGTATGGGGATCTAAAAGTGGGGTACTGTAAAATGCTTAAATTGGCAGACATTCTCTCTCTTGTGCCCTAATGTAGGGGTGTAACCCAGGCGTCCTGGCCAAATTTCCCATTGGCCCTTACCAATCATGGCCTCCTAATAATCCCCATCTATGAATTGGCTTCATTACTCTGCTCTCCTCCCCACTGAGAGCTGGTGTGGGGAGTGTACTGGTGCACTATGGCTGCCGTCGCATCATCCAGGTGGGGCTGCACACTGGTGGTGGTGGAGGGGATCCCCATTACCTGTAAAGCGCTTTGAATGGTGTGTCCAGAAAAGCGCTATATAAGTGTAAGCAATTATTATTATTATTATTATTATTATTATTATTATTATTATTAATGTGTATTCACTAGTGTAATATTGTAAGCCTAACAAGCCACAGCCTTCTTCACTAACAGTAAAGAACACCCTCTCATGTACGTATGCGCAGATATCCAGTTGGCATTTTGGTAGCTCCTTGTGCTCTGTGTCTGGGAGTCAGAGGTGTGGATCTGGGTGACAGCAGGAAGGCGGACGGCGCCCCTCATTGTGGTGGCCAGTCCAGCCAGCTCCTGCCCACTGGCAGTGCCGACACCTGGGGCTCCCCGCAACACTGCGTTCAGTCGCTCCCATAAAGACTGCAGGGTTCCAGCCCGCGAGACTCGCCCCGCTCTCTCTTACCTCAAGAGGCTCTCTGGTATTAAATGCAGCCTGCTGATTTTCCCCCCTCCTCTGCTTTGAAAAATAAAATTAATTTAGATAAAGCTCCAATCTCAAACCAAATTACAGGCACTGGAGCCGCACACAGACCACATCTCTCCAGTGTCGAGCGAGCGCAGTTTCATCTCACTGCTGCGATTACAGCACTCCACAATGGCTGCTCAGCAAAACAGATCTTTCCCCTTTTCTTTCTCTTCCTTCTCTCTGCATCTCACTTTCTCCCTTCCCCTCACAGACCCCCCACCTTCCCCCTTCTCCCTCTGCCTCCGTGCTCCATGAAAGCCCCTCTTAATTTCCATTAAAAAGCTCCAGACACAAATACTGCGACTTACCGAAACCTTTTAATGTTTATCGTGAATTAAAAATCTTATTGTTGCAAGTCAATCCTCTTACAGTAAGCAGTTTTAGCTGAGAGAGGCATGGAGTTATCTTCCCACTGCCAAGGCTTGGAAGCAGAGAGATTGTTGGTTTTTTTTCTCCCACAAACAATTTTTAATTTGACCCAAATAAAGGTGGATTATCCTCCTTCATTGTTTTTTAAGGTCTTTCGGACTCTCGTTTTGTCCTACAGTTCTTTTCGGTTCCTGTGGTCCTTGAACACAATTGATGTGTAAGTCTAATTATTTTCATTTAACAGTTTCAAATGGCTGATCTTTTGCCCTTTTTGGAGGTACACATGAACTGTTTCACCTGTCTGTGGAATTGCTCCTTCTGTAGGTGGGCTGGAGGCAGAGAATAAATGAAACATAGTTTAGGAAACTTTGCAGGTCCACAGGAATCGTTTTTAACATGTAGGATGCCTGTAAGATAACCATTGTAGTCTTTACTGATTTAATAATAATAATAATAATAATAAT